GTAAGGTTTCCTTACCTGTTCCCATCTGCCTAATACTTAGTTTAAGAGTTGTCGAGGATGACTCATGCTGAAGATCAATGTCTTCTTTTTGAGGCTGAGCGAGTTTAAGAAGGTCGATTTCTTAGAAACTGTTCAGGGGGCTAATTCGAGACAAGGCGTCTGCGACTACATTGTTTGCTCCAGAAATATGCTGTATGTCTGAAGTAAACTGCGAAATGTAGTCGAGTTGTCGAGACTCTCGCGGTGAGTACTTGTCTGCAGATGAACTTAAAGAGAAGGTAAGAGGTTTGTGATCGGTAAAAAGCATGAATTCTCTTCCTTCGATGGAATGTTGAAAATGCCGTACAGCACAATACATAGCTAGGAGTTCCCTACCGAACGTGCTGTACCTAAATTCCGCGTCTAACAACCGTCTCGAGTTGCTAACCCATTGTTTAAAGACTGCTCCGATTGCTGAGTCGGATGCGTCTACGGCGATACTAATGGGCGCTTGAGTGTCCTGATGAGCAAGCAGGGTTGCTTTAGCGATGTGTTCCTTAACTGTGGAGAATGCTTTACGGGCTATGTCGTCTAAACTAATTGATTTCGCATTTCCACCAAGCTGATCGGTTAACGGTTTCATAAGGGATGCGCATTTGGGCATGAACCGTCTATAGAAACTTACGAGTCCGTTAAAAGTGCGCAACTGCTTAATCGTGGTCAATTCTGGGTAATCCAGAGTGGCCGCCACTTTGCTTCTAAGAGGTCGGATGCCTTGGGCATCAATAGTGTGTCCTAAGATGTCTAAGAAGTTGGTTCCGATTTGGCATCTCTGAATGTTCACAGCAATGTCATGTCTTTGAAGTCATTCGAAAACAACGTCCAGATGCTGGAGATGTGATTCTCTGTCCGGAATTGCTATTAGACAGTCATCAACATACGCATGTACGAAGTTGAGACCTCGGAAAACGTGATCTATGAAACTTTGGAAGGTTTGAGAAGTATCACTTAGATCGAAAAGCATTTGTAAAAATTCGTAGAGCACGAAAGGATTTATGATGGCGGTTTTTGGACTGTCGTCAGTTGACATAGGAATTTGGTTATAAGCTTTAACCAAGTCTGTTTTCGAAAAGACAGTTTACCTTTCAAGGTAGCTGTCGAATCGTGAATGTGAGAAAACGGATAACGATCGGGAATGGTTTTAGCATTCAGACGCCGATAATCACCAGTTGGACGCTAATCATTGCTGTCCTTTTTAGGGACCGTGTGCAAGGGGGATGACCATGGGCTATTTGATGGTTGAATTATTCCTAAGTCTATCATGTTGTCGAATTCGTTCTCAGCCAACCTATGCTTTTCGGGAGCCAGTCGGCGTGCTTTCGAGAATACAGGTGATCCTGTAGTCGAGATGTGATGTGTAACATTGCTGGTTACACAAGGCAATTTCGATTGCGATTGGTGTATCCCGGAGTATTTGTCGAGTACTGATTGGTACAATGGGTCTATGGTGTGCTTAATTGTGTCTGGGGATAATCTGCAACCGGAATAAGGAGTTACGCAAACGGATAACTTAGTGTTTCCGCCTATTAATCTTCGTGAGCGTGTGTCGATGAGTAGATTGTGGTGTTGTTACAGGTCTATACCAATCATTGGTATAGAAACATCTGCGGATACGAAAATCCAGTGTATGGGTTTGCGTAAACGCACGTTAAGGTAGACGTACCTTTTACCGTAAGTAGCGATCGGCTATCCGTTTGTCGCTTGTAAACTTAAAACAGACTCGCGAAGTCTGTCATCGGGATTTTCTGGATGAACGCCGACTTTTGCGCCGGTGTTGACGAGATAGCGAACTTTCGTCGTCACATCTGTGACGTACAACAGACGGATGTTCACTGACTACGGTTGCCATTAACGCGTGCCGGCTGGGAAGTTTCCCGAACTGTTTTTCGTGTCAGTCGATTTAGAGTTCGTGTAATTGCAGGGTTTCCTGTAATTTCTAGAAGACTTGCCGTACTGGTTGTGATACCAGCACCAGTCGGGATTGTCTGTCTACCGTGGTCGAGAGACAGATCTCTTACGTGAAACGCTCCTATGTGAGGATTTTTACCGACTTCGGTCATTACGAACTCTGAGATATCTTGTAAGCGTGTGACATAGTTCGGTCATGTCAGTCGAGGTCGATTGGGGTTTTTCTTTGATGGAAAATACCTCGGCCTTAGAAAATTTGGTGATTTCCAAGATTCGATCGGCGGATGCAGCTAGTTCATCTATGGCATTGTTTTGAAATGAAAGAAGCACTGCTTGCAGCTGTTGAAGGAGTTTAGACAAGAAAAGTTGTCTAAATAGGCCATCATCGAAAGTTCGATGGTCGATGACTTCTCTCATTCTAAGCAACATGTCCGTCGCAGAACCATGTTGCAAGTCGATATTGTTAAGGAGTTGGTATAACCGTTGTCGATCAGTTAAATCTGCTCGTTTTAAAATCGATAGCTTAAGCGTTTCGTAAGGTTCGGGAACATCACTAGTAAACATACTAGGTGTTACGTACCTGTTAAACTCTCGGGGTAACGCCTTAACTACCGCGAGGAAACGTGTGCACGAGTCCGTGATTCCGTGCATTCAAAAATCGGCTTCTGCATAGCAGAACCAGGACTCGATATTGTCGGGTCAAAATGGCGTTAACTGAATCGAAATAGGGGTAATAGAATTAAACTTAAGAACCTTAGGAGAGTGTTCCGTCATAGTAATATAGATAACGAAAAATGTCTAATTAAAATATATCCGAGAAAAAAATTCGCGAAAAAAGTATATCACAATATATAAAATTCAAATAAAGAATTACAATGAATAATAATATTCCAAAATGGAGCAGACTCACAGTATATTGACTTGGTGTACCAGATCACGTCGGGTTCACCACTGAGGATGCAACGAATGTTCTAGTTTTACAACTAGCTACCAGGAGCACCTTCTATATTCGATCGTTCCCAGTCAGATAGAAATCAGAAGTCAGACGAGAAGAGGTATTCAAAACAAAATTACAAAAATGAAGCGTTTACAAAGTGATTTCTGGGGACCTATCAGCGCCAACAATACTTCTCCGAATAATCATCGTATATAACTAAAAGCCTGTGCAATGTCGCGAAAAACTCCAATGGTTTTAAAATTTCATTGCACTTTGGTAAAAGTGTGCATTCGTTGTTATAATTATATCTTTGTTAACATCCACCAAACCTCAAGGTATATGTAATCGGCGTTACATTTCGCGGCTTGAATAAACCACCAGTCGTAAGATTGTACACGCTTCAAACTACGCAGGGGTGTTGTTTTCCTACTACAGTAACTGACATCCGGCCAAGCTACAGTTCATACGAAATGATTACAGTGAGTAATTTTATCGCATTGGAATGATCTTTGTCCGCAAATTACAATGATAGAACCATTAAAATTTGTCGAAGTCTTTAGTACACCAGCTACCAAATTTTATACTTCGTTTAGTGTGAAATAGGTCCTGTTTTAGTATATTAGTTGCACAGTTATCGCTTAGCCAGCCTCCAATGTTCAATAATTAATCACTGAAGTCACTATTCAGGGGCAATATTGCCCCTGAAATATATAATTAATCACGGCCCATGGATTGTCATGTAGGTTCCCTGTGATTTAAAAACCTCAGTTCAGGAATATCACTTTTGCGGGAATTTTTCAAAATTGCACCACACCTATAGTATAGTTACCACGGTCTTTTTCTCAGTATGAAGTTGCAAATATGAACTTGAAATATGCTGACAGCATAGTCGTTTATTCAAGACGCTAACAAAAAAATATGAACTTCCTGTGTGGGGATTTTCTTAATCCACTTCTTCTTATTCAAGGTTTTGCTTCAAGAGTGGTCTACTGCAGCCACTAAACTAACCATGGTACAACAGTTAAGTACGCCACCCACTTTGACGACTAATATCAACGAGAATATGCTTTATGGATGAACCAATCACATATAAACAACGATGCTCTGTGTTTTACCTTTTGGTCATAAAACACGATCTTTGAAAAGCTAGGAAGTTCGTAAATGACTGGTATTTGATCGTAAGTGACTTTGAAGCAATTTTTATGCATTTCGAAAGCGAGTGAGCTATGTTGAATCTAGACTCAGATACTAGGCTGATTTAGCAAGTCGGTCACTAATATTGTTAATCTTTGTTGCCTATTTTGACACTAAGTATCAGGTGCTGTAGGAGTTAGTCGTAAAAAATTAGCGAAAGAGACAGACATAAACGTTACACAAATCAATGAAGTCATCATTAGTTTATAACTTAGGCTAAGAATTCCTGTCTTGAGTGCGCTGGATTGTCGTAACCAGTGGTTGGAACTATTATTATTAATGAAAACGTTAGGTGACATAACTCAAAGTTGGTGATATTAGGGCGGATACATTTAATCTTTAAATTTTTCTTAGATTCTGAAGTTATTTTGTACCTTTGGTTTCTCTAATTCATTCTCTCTTGAATCGCGTTTTCTGTCTTATCGTTTTTCCACCATTTATGCTTCACCGATTCCTGATAGTTCAACCTCGTTGTGGTGCAGCAGGTTGAGGCGGTGCAAATGTGATAGGTTCTATATTAGTTGGTTGATATTGAGTGAGGCAGTTGTTATTTTTACTATTTACTGGTGCAGATATTATTAATATACCTAATATATTCTTCCATGAGTCCCGAGTAATTTACCACTATAACCGTACTTATCTAGCTGCTTTTGATATTGAAATGCTGTTTCATCTCTTGGTTTTCTTTTTGTGTGAAGTTAATAATTATGAAAACGTAAATTAATTCACCAGTGAAAAGATCTGATTTGATGTCAGTAAATTACTCGCAAAAAACACCATTCCTTTGTCTTATCTATGTTAAGCCTTTCATTTTAGATTTTTCAGATTATATACCTGAACTTTTAACTGTTGTCTTCCTGAATACCGAACTCCTGTTCCGTAATTACGGTGCCCAAACGGTACATTCGATCAACTTATACTGATGGAAGACGACATTCTGCGTCTTGCAAGAAAATATATTGGAGATTCACACGTTAAGAGGTGTCAAGAGAGATCAATTAAAAAGAAAAAGAAGCTAACTGCGGTACTAGATCAGGTTAGTTTTTGATTATTCAACCTCAGTTGTCTGCGTCTTTGCAAAATTTATTGCTCGTGTATGGTGAGACATTAAGATAAGCAATGATATTAAGTAAAACGCCCCGGGCAGGAGATGGTCAGTTTTCTAGATTGTTAATTGGAATAAACAGAGATTGACTAATCATATTCTTTCATGTAGTCCGATATATGATAATGTCTTAAATAGGATTAAATTAAACAAAAATCTAAAGATGACGTAACGGGTTATTAGTTTCATGTATCAGTAGGTATGAAGTTTGTTTTTTGTAGTTTTAAAGTAACAATTTGGTGTCAAATACCTCTGATGACAATAGTGATAACCGGCTATATATTGAACCATTATTCATTCGTTCTGTACATTTCAAACCTTTTTAATTTTATCACTTGTCACATGTTCTTTTCTCAGTTCATAACTTTTATTTGTGGTAATATCTTTCAGTTCTTGGTAACATCCACTTTATTTACCACTACAACCTTTGACAACTTAAACTTACGTACTATTGTATAACGTCATGTGTCAGTATACTTCTTTGAGCTTTATTCATAAACATCTGGATTGATGTAGTGAGATTATTAAATATTTACTCTGAGCCAAACTAGTTGGTTGGTCGATGAACCTGAAGTCTTAGAAATTTTAGAATATCAGGTGTGAAAGAATAGCATCAAAGTAATTCACTTTATTATGATCTAAATATTGATACTGTTCCGATGTTCTTAGAATGTATTGGATTTGTTCTGATGTAAATTCATTAACATTTGGTGTTTATTTTATGGAACAAGAATACTACATCAACTTCACAAGTCGCAATTCCTGATCACGACCTCAGTACTTGTCTTGGGTTTCCATTGATATAGGATTTAATAGACCTGGCACAATTTTCCAGAAAAGCAAATGAATCAATGCAAATAATTTATTCCCTCTTTATCGTTAAGCTCTATGTGTTATTTATTGTAAAAGATAAGGGTGAATGTATGCCAATACTGAAGTGGCGTATTATATCCAGCAAAGCTACTGCCGATTTTTTATTTATTGGTTATTAACTTTGTAACATGGTGAACTAGTTATTAATGTAAATAGCTCAGCTGTTGTCTGTACTTAAAGAATGTATTTGTAAAACCTCAGCGAATGAATCCGAAGTAAATCCAATGTTTCGCCTGGTGTTTAACTACTTAGATAAGATTCATAATTTGTTTATTATAATCTAAGATTTCCCCCTGAAGATATTGAGAATTTTTGCAGAGTAAACCGGACAAAATCTGTTAAAATTTGTTGCATGAAATACAATTCATCATAGCTCATATGGTATCACAATAAATAATTGCATATATTTTATTATTGTAAATTTGTTTTTCATTTTTACAAATTGCATTCTGTAATAATTTGGACTCATTTAGGGACAACTTCCAGATGTAGGCTTTTCTGAAGCCGAAATTGAAGCATTGTTTCTTCAAATATCATCTTTCGATTCTAATAACTGGGAGAATTCTGTAGGTGTTGGAGAAAGAGAAGGACGAGTACTTGTGAACTTTATTCGTCGTCGTCATTATGGGTAAGCTATCCATTATGTGTTCGAATATCTCTGTGTAACATTTCTCAAATTCGGTGGCATACTATTTTGATAAAGCTAAATCTTGGTAATTTGATTTTGATCACAGTGAAGACTGTCAATAAATTAGTTAAGTTAACTTGAAACTCAGACTTCAGTAAGTTAGATCAGCTTTCATTATTGTAACTTTTTGGTTCATATATTCAACATTCAGCTAGTGAACTATTATTCTAAATCACATGACATATACTTCTGTTTCGGTGATAGATCAGTATATCTCGAACTCCCATACAATAAAGTTGTACTACCTATACTTGTCCAATAAACTTCACAGATATATATATATATATAACAAACGGAATGTGGCTAACAGTGGGATCATGGGTGCGCGTTTCTTACCATTTGAGACCCTTCAGATGGATGTACCTGCGTCGTAGAGTTGTTCTTCACTCCTGGGTTCGATTCCAGTAACGTTCGCCTCAAACGCCGACACGTTATCCACTTAGGTCCTGAGTCCGGACAGCCACCCATTTGTGCAACGGGTATGAATCTTCATTTAATTTTTAATGGCTTAGATTACCCCGTTGTTCATATTATTATAAAATAAGATAATAGGCATTCGGTGTGCATATTTATTGTGAGAAGTTACAAAGTATTTACATAATGCATATACATAGCGTCCAATTGTCCATTCGCATTTTCCTGTGTGTTCTGCAATGTTAACTGTCTTCTGTTATAACTGACCTTTAAGTCTTCTGCCAACCTCATGCTTTTGATGCACTAAAACCTAATCTGATAAATGGATTCATTTGAACTGCATTAACGTATTTTGAACCATCTTGCATTGAATTGAAAAATACCCGCAGAAACTTTCTCGTTGCTCTTGATGACCACTAAGTTAGCTTCGCTCTATATGATCTCAATGTTCGTACTAATCAAGGCGAAGTAGTTTTTTGATACATTTCAGTCATATCAGCTAATCCAAATTCATGGCCTTATTAATTAACCTTCCTTCACTGCGTAGATACTTGTACCCAACATCCATATCACTCCATAAATAACCGTGGATAATAAAGTACACATAGTTTACAATTACACTATATTTTCTGACGGAACCGCTTCATATCTCTTTCATTCCTAATAAGTGTTCACACGTTGGATTTGCTTATATGGCTAATATTAAGATTATTTCTTAAAATATAGGTTTACCCATGGTATTGGTCGTTCTGGTGATATAGCTGCTATTCAACCAAAAGCTCCTGGTTCAAGTCTTATTTGCCGACTAACTAATCAATTGTTACTTGATTGGTTGAGAAAATCAGGTAAATGGAAAATGAAAGTTGTATATAATTGTGAAAATCACCATTTATACTGTTGAACTGTAATAATGTTTGAGATTTGACTTACTGTCCTAAAATTAATTATTACTTGAGATTCATGGATTCTCAATCAATGAATTTATATTTAATAACTGTGTGTGTATCTTTTACTTGTTGATATCAATACATTGTTAACCAATCAGATGCTTTAGTTCGAGAGAAGCGAAAATTAATGAGTTATACACTTCAGAGATGCTAGGAATCCATCTTTTCACACTTGAACTCTTTGTAAGATGAGACATATTCAGGCGATCATTTTTTTTCATGGCCCTAACGCTTAACTTCCATAATGGTAACATTTTTTTCTCTAATCATCATGTGCCGGAATACTACCAGAACACCGATGTTGAAGCAGATAGCTTTCTTAAGGGGACCACTTCCCGACTGCTTACTTTAGAGGTCCCATTCCAAAGGCACATGAGTGGAGCAACTTCTGAAGATCCATTCTCATATCAGCAGTGATCAAAGTAAGTTTGTCTCCTCGAGATCCTAATGATTATATCCCTTAGGTAGGCTCTTCGTGTCCATTTAGCTGATGTAGGGGCCAAAGATCCTTTTTTCCCTCAATTTCATAACAGCATTCTCATTACCTAAATGTAGTGAGTAGAATTTACTTTGGTAAGGTTGCAAAGACGACTATGTAAGAGCACTTTGTGAGAAGTAGCAGGGCATTCTGGAACGATGGACAAACTAAAACAAACCGATGTTCCATTTTTGGTGGTTTTGCAGCTGGTGTTGATCTGCGATAAAAACTAACTTAAAAGAAAATACTTTCCTAACTACTATTTCTTAAAAACATTAAATTTTGTCCCAATCACTCTTTTGCTTCTAACATGGAGAAAAGTTTTGTTGTAGAAGCAAAACTATGGTCATTATTGTTGAATATCCAACAGTCATTTGAGTAATATTAATCTCAATAAATGACCACTGTCAAATGCTACTTAATATTCACCAGTTATTGTCATCGTCAAATATTGTTTAATATTTAGTGCATATTTCTTTTAGGGTCTAACTATTCTGGAATCATAATTTTCTATTAAAATTTCAAAATAAGTTACTAATTCTCTGTGAATAATAACGTCCCTAAATGCCCTGGTACGGCTGAGAGTGAAGAGGGTCAGCTCTCCCTCTCAGAATTCTCTGAAATGGTCACGTGCATACAACCACTACCAGGGAAGTCCTACTCACTACCTTCTCGTGCGCCGGGGTGTTCAAGAAATTGAGAGGACGATAAGCGAATGTATGGCGCTTTAACGGAGTTGGTGGAAACGGAAAGTCCACCTAGGGGATTTGGGAAACCCTGATTCCCAAACCAGTGGTGCACATGGGCTGGCTCCAGTATCCTGATGAAACAAATGGTGTATGAACCAACTGTTGGTCACCGTCTACCATGGGACTGCATCACTTGATAATGAAAATATTTGTTTTAATTGTTTTTCTTTTTACTTTATAATGGTAATATATATTATTGTGTAAATAAATGGACTGTCTACTTTCTCCTTGATTATTAAAGGATCACCAAGTACATCTGCATGCTTTCTTGTACCAATGGCTACTGGAATGTCATTAACATTATGTTTACTGGCTATGAAAAGACGTCGTCCACTCCGGGCTAACTTTGTATTATGGTCTCGTATTGATCAAAAGTCGTGTTTTAAATGTATGTTAGCTGCAGGTTAGTATAATACGTTGAATAAGTTTGAAGATTTGGTACTTTTGTTAATAACTTTCGGTAGAATCTGAGAATCTGTCTGTCGAATTTCAGCATATCATAATTGATTTTCTACTCAGTAAATCGCAAGATATCCTGTAGAACGTCATCTATCTTAACAGCAACATTTTACACATGATTAATCACACAGTATAACGTACTTTCATTGACCTATTAATTATAATAGTTGAAAGCGTGAGTCAGTGGAAGCTAGACCTCCAGGAAAAACCTGGAAGCACTGGACGGCCGTTTCGTCTTATTGTGGTACTCCTCAGCAGTGCGCATTCACGACTTCGCCTCGCGAGATTCGAACCCAGGACCTACCAGTGATGCGCCAGATCACTTAACCGATAGACCACTGAGTCGGCATCCGATGGTGTTTATGTCTAACTGCAACCAATTGACTCACGCTTTCAACTATGAAAAAATACTCAATCTCCACAAAACCCCTTCTGATAATAATTATAACTGTGTTTATTTTAATATTGTTTTAAAAATTGTACCAGGCAAATGTTATTGCATAGGATTATCGATAACCGTGTGAGTGTTTGTTACGAGTTCTTGTCAGAACTCACAATGTTCCTTTTTCTTTCTCTATTAGAGGTCTACTAAAAAATATTGGTCCCCTCTTCACTGATCAGCTTTAATTAGGTGTATAAATTAGTTTTCTTAAGTCATAGAGGGTTATATAATGATTATGCGTTTTGCTTGAGCTTCGTTTTCAAGTAAAGTTGCTCCATGACGAGACTTGGCAATGCACATCCATGATTCTACAGGAATCAAGCTGAGAACTATAATATTTCTCAGTAAATTTATTACGTTCAAACTATTGATTTGAAATATAGTAGTTCGCATCTCCAATTTTAATTAATTCACAATATGTTATATCATCCAGTGTCATTGGCATCTAGCTAACTGCTTTACTTAGAATACACAATGTGAACTCTACCAGTCACACCTCACTAGAAATTTATTTATTTATTTGAACACATTAATATTGGTACAAAGGAGTGCCAGATACATGTGCGCTACACAAATCATTCGATTTGTGTGAGGGCTGTGATACTGCCCGGGTGCCTAAACCGAAACAGGTGGTTTTCTTAGGGGGCAACACACGGAGCCTTTGACCTAAAGGTCTAGTCCACAAGGCAGTGGAGCATCTTAAGGAGATGCAGTCCCATGGTAGCCGGTGATCAACGATTGATTTATACGCCATTTGTTCCCTCAGGATCCCGGAGCCCATGTACACCAATGGTTTGGAATCAGGGTTTCCGAACTCCCCTAGGTGAAATTTCCGTGTCCACCAACCCGGTTAAAGTGCCAAACATTCGCTTCTCGCTTTCTCAATTTCGTAAACAACATTAATGCCACGAGAAGGCAGTGAGTAAGACTTCCCTGGCAGAGGCTATATATTCGCGTGGCCGTGAGAGCATTTCGAGAAGGAGAGCGGACTCTCCCCGCTTTCAACCGTACCAGAGCATTTGTAATCATTTTTATTCAGTTAATATTCTATGAGATAAATATAAAGTACTCATTATTTGTATTTTTATTTATATTTCTGGTTTGTAAAAAACAAAAATCAAATTACTTTCTTATTTTACTTTCTTCTAATTGTTGTTTTTGAATTTAGTTTTGTAGTCATGAGTTATGCATTCTATGATCACACCCCCTCCCATCGTTTGATAATAATTTGGTAGAATATGAATTCCATAAATTGATGTTGTACTTTCATTAAGTTTTATTATTTCACTCGTCAATTAAAAAGAGACTTGTAGGTATGTACATATAAACCTGGTGTTTATATCTGGATATTGATTATTGATTCAGTTAGTAAGTAATTCCTTTATGTAATCAGAAATGATATTATTATCCCAACCGTTGCCGCTACCTTGACGTGGTGGTCGGGCTTGCCTATCGTGATGAATCAATCGAGCTATACTGGCTGGAACAATTGTTCCAGCGCTTTACCAAGTTATTATTATCAATCTTGACAAAGCGCGTTTGGTTTGAATTATAATGGAAGGTGCGTTATTATATTTACAAGTGGTAATCCTTAATTGATTTAACTCCATCTTGCAGTAAAATAATATTCAATTTATATTAAGGTCTAGGAAGTTTCAACGTGATAAAGTCTACTATCCATCTAGTCTATTTCCGTACAATTTCGAAGATATTCACAGTGGGGAAGTTATTGAGAAATAGCAAAAATAGGGAATCCTGTCTCATTATCTCATCGACGGTGTGGAACGTCACAAATAACTTATTTCTAAATAGATCTTTAAATATTTTAGTAAACTGATGGGGAGGGGATATCCTTATGTGAAATTATTGTAGAGTGCATTCTAAGTCATAGAATCATTTGTTAACCTTTGATATATGTGAGTGTTCAAGAGTCTACTGCCCCCGAATGCCCTGGTACGGCCGAGAGTGGAGAGAGTCCGCTCTCCCTCTCGAAATGCTCTCACGGCCACGCGAATATATAGCCTCTGCCAGGGAAGTCCTACTCACTGCCTTCTCGTGGCATTAATGTTGTTTACGAAATTGAGAAAGCGAGAAGCGAATGTTTGGCACTTTAACCGGGTTGGTGGACACGGAAATTTCACCTAGGGGAGTTCGGAAACCCTGATTCCAAACCATTGGTGTACATGGGCTCCGGGATCCTGAGGGAACAAATGGCGTATAAATCAATCGTTGATCACCGGCTACCATGGGACTGCATCTCCTTAAGATGCTCCACTGCCTTGTGGACTAGACCTTTAGGTCAAAGGCTCCGTGTGTTGCCCCCTAAGAAAACCACCTGTTTCGGTTTAGGCACCCGGGCAGTATCACAGCCCTCACACAAATCAAATGAGATTTGTGAGGCGCATATATATCTGGTGATACCTTTTTTGAATAAATAAAATCAGGAATCTACTAAAGGGTAACATAAACATCTATAAAATAAGCAAAATCGAATTCGGCCCTTTGTATGTACCATTAATTGTATGCTACAACAACAGCTCAGTCTTCTAAACGCTGGAGACTAACTAATATGTAAATAAATTTTTAGAAATATATATCTTAGCGGGACATATATAGGATTAAAGCATATTCCATGCACGATTGTGTTGGTACATGTTGATTGGCTAATTCTTAACCAATCAACTCTAGTCAGTGCTTGGAAATGACTCTAAAATCTTCTCATGTAAAAACTATAAATATACTAATGTATTTCTTATTGGGCTTCTTACTTCCATTTACCCTTGTTATTTGAAATATAACTTCTTCCCTGTTCAACCGTGTTCTGATTTGGGGACTTGTCGAGTGAATTAGTGTCCAAGACTACTAAGCAATAGGAATAGTTGGGTCATAATAAGAAGAAATTATAACCATATCAAAGAGATGTTGATGAAAGATGGATAAATAGGCTTTCTCATTCCAGAGTAAATAAACAATAGTTCGATACTTAGAAAAGTCGAAAAATCAATCTCGTTCTTATGTTATGCTCAAAGACATATTGCACGTCAAGTACCATAGGTTTATGCAATACATGGGATATATTCAGTATTCTTATGCAATGAGATTTCCCTTTAAAAGTTTTTCTTGTAAGACACATACGCACCTTTTTACCTATTAGAGACTAAGTATGGTAGATAGGAGTGCAGTCTGTTCTACTCTAGGATTGTTAAAAATGATCAATAAAAGAAAAAAATGCATCAGTGTTACTTCGTAGATATTTTTGCATCATTGTTCAAACAATATAAAACCAGTTGATGAGCGAACCTCAGGTTAAGCTTAGATTAAACACTGATAATAACAATTTGCTCATAAAGTCGTGAACTTTCGTTATTTGATGGAATTTGTCCACGGCCGTCGTCTGACTGTCTTCCTTAAAGTAGAAGGTGGTTCAAAAATTACAAACAGTGCTCATTTTGAAAAATGCTATCAATCCACAAAGTCCCGTGATAATCTTTTGCCGTTTGATGGTTTGATTTATCTCTCCTCAAAATTACAGAAGATTTTTGTTGGTGCTTTGTTTGTATTGAACAATGTTCTGTAATAATTCTTAAATTTAAAGTCTATATTGATTTAGTACACAAATGCAATGTGCTTACGTCAACATTAAATTATAAACAGATTTATTTATTATAATGTTGTTTCTCAAGGCTCAGTTTAGCTACTATGTATACTCTTTACCCCATTAACCAATCGAACTGGATAAAGAACTAAGAATTACCTAAAAATCCTAATCAGAAGATAATTTATTTATTTAAACACATAAATATTGGTACAAGCAAGCACCAGATATATATGCGCCGCACAAATCTCATTTGATTTGTGTGAGGGCTGTGTTACTGCCTAGGTGCCCAAACTGAAGCAGGTGGTTTTCTTGGGGTCCACACCCGTAGCCTTTGACCTGAAGGTCTAATCCACAAGGCATCGGAGCATCGTGAGGAGATACCGTCCTATAGTAGACAGTGACCAACGTCTGGTTCATACGCCGTTTGTTCCCTCAGGATACTGGAGCTCATGTGCTTTATTGGCTTGCAATCAGGGTTTTCCAAATCCCCTAGGTGAAGTTTTCATGTCCACCAACCCGGTTAAAGGGCCGTACATCCACTTTTCGTCCTCTCAATTTCGTAAACAACATTAATGCCACGAGAAGGCAGTGAGTAGGACTTCCCTGGCAGAGGCTATATATTCGCGTGGCCGTGAGAGCATTTGGAGAGGGAGAGCGGACTCTCCCCGCTTTCAACCGTACCAGAGCATTTGTAATCATTTTTATTCAGTTAATATTCTATGAGATAAATATAAAGTACTCATTATTTGTATTTTTATTTATATTTCTGGTTTGTAAAAAACAAAAATCAAATTACTTTCTTATTTTACTTTCTTCTAATTGTTGTTTTTGAATTTAGTTTTGTAGTCATGAGTTATGCATTCTATGATCACACCCCCTCCCATCGTTTGATAATAATTTGGTAGAATATGAATTCCATAAATTGATGTTGTACTTTCGATAAGTTTTATCAATTAACTTGTAAATTAAAAAGAGACTTGTAGGTATATACATATAAACCTGGTGTTTATATCTGGATATTGATTATTGATTCAGTTAGTAAGTAATTCCTTTATGTAATCAGAAATGATATTATTATCCCAACCGTTGCCGCTACCTTGACGTGGTGGTCGGGCTTGCCTATCGTGATGAATCAATCGAGCTATACTGGCTGGAACAATTGTTCCAGCGCTTTACCAAGTTATTATTATCAATCTTGACAAAGCGCGTTTGGTTTGAATTATAATGGAAGGTGCGTTATTATATTTACAAGTGGTAATCCTTAATTGATTTAACTCCATCTTGCAGTAAAATAATATTCAATTTATATTAAGGTCTAGGAAGTTTCAACGTGATAAAGTCTACTATCCATCTAGTCTATTTCCGTACAATTTCGAAGATATTCACAGTGGGGAAGTTATTGAGAAATAGCAAAAATAGGGAATCCTGTCTCATTATCTCATCGACGGTGTGGAACGTCACAAATAACTTATTTCTAAATAGATCTTTAAATATTTTAGTAAACTGATGGGGAGGGGATATCCTTATGTGAAATTATTGTAGAGTGCATTCTAAGTCATAGAATCATTTGTTAACCTTTGATATATGTGAGTGTTCAAGAGTCTACTGCCCCCGAATGCCCTGGTACGGCCGAGAGTGGAGAGAGTCCGCTCTCCCTCTCGAAATGCTCTCACGGCCACGCGAATATATAGCCTCTGCCAGGGAAGTCCTACTCACTGCCTTCTCGTGGCATTAATGTTGTTTACGAAATTGAGAAAGCGAGAAGCGAATGTTTGGCACTTTAACCGGGTTGGTGGACACGGAAATTTCACCTAGGGGAGTTCGGAAACCCTGATTCCAAACCATTGGTGTACATGGGCTCCGGGATCCTGAGGGAACAAATGGCGTATAAATCAATCGTTGATCACCGGCTACCATGGGACTGCATCTCCTTAAGATGCTCCACTGCCTTGTGGACTAGACCTTTAGGTCAAAGGCTCCGTGTGTTGCCCCCTAAGAAAACCACCTGTTTCGGTTTAGGCACCCGGGCAGTATCACAGCCCTCACACAAATCAAATGAGATTTGTGAGGCGCATATATATCTGGTGATACCTTTTTTGAATAAATAAAATCAGGAATCTACTAAAGGGTAACATAAACATCTATAAAATAAGCAAAATCGAATTCGGCCCTTTGTATGTACCATTAATTGTATGCTACAACAACAGCTCAGTCTTCTAAACGCTGGAGACTAACTAATATGTAAATAAATTTTTAGAAATATATATCTTAGCGGGACATATATAGGATTAAAGCATATTCCATGCACGATTGTGTTGGTACATGTTGATTGGCTAATTCTTAACCAATCAACTCTAGTCAGTGCTTGGAAATGACTCTAAAATCTTCTCATGTAAAAACTATAAATATACTAATGTATTTCTTATTGGGCTTCTTACTTCCATTTACCCTTGTTATTTGAAATATAACTTCTTCCCTGTTCAACCGTGTTCTGATTTGGGGACTTGTCGAGTGAATTAGTGTCCAAGACTACTAAGCAATAGGAATAGTTGGGTCATAATAAGAAGAAATTATAACCATATCAAAGAGATGTTGATGAAAGATGGATAAATAGGCTTTCTCATTCCAGAGTAAATAAACAATAGTTCGATACTTAGAAAAATCGAAAAATCAATCTCGTTCTTATGTTATGCTCAAAGACATATTGCACGTCAAGTACCATAGGTTTATGCAATACATGGGATATATTCAGTATTCTTATGCAATGAGATTTCCCTTTAAAAGTTTTTCTTGTAAGACACATACGCACCTTTTTACCTATTAGAGACTAAGTATGGTAGATAGGAGTGCAGTCTGTTCTACTCTAGGATTGTTAAAAATGATCAATAAAAGAAAAAAATGCATCAGTGTTACTTCGTAGATATTTTTGCATCATTGTTCAAACAATATAAAACCAGTTGATGAGCGAACCTCAGGTTAAGCTTAGATTAAACACTGATAATAACAATTTGCTCATAAAGTCGTGAACTTTCGTTATTTGATGGAATTTGTCCACGGCCGTCGTCTGACTGTCTTCCTTAAAGTAGAAGGTGGTTCAAAAATTACAAACAGTGCTCATTTTGAAAAATGCTATCAATCCACAAAGTCCCGTGATAATCTTTTGCCGTTTGATGGTTTGATTTATCTCTCCTCAAAATTACAGAAGATTTTTGTTGGTGCTTTGTTTGTATTGAACAATGTTCTGTAATAATTCTTAAATTTAAAGTCTATATTGATTTAGTACACAAATGCAATGTGCTTACGTCAACATTAAATTATAAACAGATTTATTTATTATAATGTTGTTTCTCAAGGCTCAGTTTAGCTACTATGTATACTCTTTACCCCATTAACCAATCGAACTGGATAAAGAACTAAGAATTACCTAAAAATCCTAATCAGAAGATAATTTATTTATTTAAACACATAAATATTGGTACAAGCAAGCACCAGATATATATGCGCCGCACAAATCTCATTTGATTTGTGTGAGGGCTGTGTTACTGCCTAGGTGCCCAAACTGAAGCAGGTGGTTTTCTTGGGGTCCACACCCGTAGCCTTTGACCTGAAGATCTGATCCACAAGGCATCGGAGCATCGTGAGGAGATACCGTGCTATAGTAGACAGTGACCAACGTCTGGTTCATACGCCGTTTGTTCCCTCAGGATACTGGAGCTCATCTGCTTTATTGGCTTGCAATCAGGGTTTTCCAAATCCCCTAGGTGAAGTTTTCATGTCCACCAACCCGGTTAAAGGGCCGTACATCCACTTTTCGTCCTCTCAATTTCGTAAACAACATTAATGCCACGAGAAGGCAGTGAGTAGGAATTCTCTGACAGAGGTTATATACGCGTGGCCATATGAAAGCATTTGGAGAGGGAGAGCTGACTCTCCCCACTCTCGGTCTTACCAGGGCATTCGGCGAAATAATAGTACTTACAACTCATTCATTATTTATAGCGCAACCAGATTGATTCAGGCAGGTCTATTTTGTTATTAATTCACTTAATTATCATCTCATCACATTTTCAGCTGACTTATCATTCCATATTGAGACATCGGCTGTTTTTCTAGTTTTACTCAATACATCATATTGCATTTTTCGAAAGATATGTATTTTTCTTATTTTTGCCTTCTCTTCAGGATTAATACCTATCCCTATTGAATTAGTCTCAGATGCTTCAAATGATCAACTCTGTTCAAATCTTGATGCTTTAGAGGTAGCATTAAAGAATCCTGCTAAATATTTGTTAGATCATTGGCCAAATGCAGCAAAAGCTTATAATATAGATGATAAGTTTATAGAAAATTCTACATCTGATGATATTGTATGCATTTTTACAACTACAAATTGTTTTGCACCTAGAGTTCCAGATAAGTAAGTTGATGTTTGATTTAGTGCACCGTTAATACTCAATTATCTGCTTAACTTATGTAAACATTCCATTTACATTTCATTCAGTCAATCATGTAGTATCATAAGGTTTGGTTCAGTGTGTGTTCCTTTTTATGTGAAATAAATAAACGGATAGTTTTGTGAAAACTTTTGCAGTTCAAAAATGGAATTTTTGTTTTAAACCTACATCATCAAGTCCTTTCAGTCAGTCAATCACAGCGTAGAACCTCGTACGTACGTACATCCGTTCGAGTTGCCATACCTCATTAGCACAGAGATGTAGTTGTTGATTCAAATCCCATAGTTGTAGAAGTAGTAAGAGTATAAGCAGTAATCAAAAAGATTAGGGTTTGAAGATGTTATTGAAGAAGTATAATCCAGTGAAATAAATTTGGAAGGAGAAAAGGGATAGGCACTTGAAGAATTTAGAAGATTACAATTTGGGAGAACATAAAGAGTGGATGCACCTTCGCCATTGTAAACGATTTTGAGCCATGTCATTCAACGTCACTAACCGTCGATAAGTGTTATTGAAATGTCTTGTTTATGACTAACCTTTGGCTAAGTAATTCGTAGCAAAACACTATAGTATGTGGGTGTATACAACTAAAAGATAATCTTCAACGAAAATTATAATCCGCGTCTACTTGTTCTTAAATCAACCCCCAACTCTTAAGCAAAATAGTACTTTCACAAACTATAGGATGGGGAAACACGTGAATATTTATAAGATTTTTATGATATCCTTGAAAATCATTCATTGAAAATGTAGGATTCATGACTCTGAGTTCAGCTGCACAAATTTAAATTAAGAGTACAAAAGTAAACAATTTTGTGGCAGATTAAGTCGACCTTTTGGGGCATAGTACATTTCCAAACAATCATAAAAATATCCAGTAGTAAGCGAGATATTCGTTTACCAACCAAAGGACGGGTTTACTGCGCAGCAGTTTTGTCTGCCCTACTTTATGGCAGTGAAACATGGCCGATAAGAGTAGAGGATATTCGTAGGCTACTAGTATTCGATCATAGGTGTCTTCGACGCTCGTTTATCCTGGGACCACCGGGTAAGTAATGTAGTTGTTAGGAAACGGGTACTATGTATGGATGGCAAATTGATTGATGAAGTAGTGAAACTTCATCAGTTGAGATGGCTGGGACACGTGTTACGTATGTCCAATCACCGACTGCCCCGACATGCAACGTTTTATGGTGTAGGAGTAAGTTTGAAGAAAGCTAGGGGTGGCCAGAACAAAACGTGACACAAATCCATAAAGTCACTGACTAGTGGACTGAGCCATTTTTGCAGGTGTAGACTAGCTGTTTGGGATTCGCGAGATGATAGCAATCGATAGTTAGGGATCTTGAACGACATGGTTCGAAGTCGTTTACAATGGCGAAGGTGTATCCACTCTTTGTATTCTCTCAAATTCTAATCTTCTGAATTCTTCATGTCTCTATCTTTTTTCTTTTTTCAAATTTATTTCACTGTTGTTTAATCCTTCAATAAAATCTCCGAACCCTAGTCTTTCTGATTACTGCTTATACTTTTACCACTTCTACCACTATGGGATTTGAATCGACAAGTGAATCTCTGTGCTAGTGTAGTATGGCAACTTGAATTGATGTACGTACGTACAAAGTTCCACGTTGTGACTTACTGAAGCCTAATCTGTTTATGTCAAAATAACATGTTTACTCTCTTCTTTTACCATAATCTAAATTTTACATCCATATAGTTACCAGTTAACTCTATAACAAACAACATTTCATCATTCTATTCTTCATATTCATCAATTAAACAATTATCATCTTTGATTCGTTGAATAACATTCTTTTGATATATGATTTTTAATGAACAATTTACTATGATATAATACTCATTACTCTATTACGTAATATCTCTTCATTACATTATACACTATTATATTGGATGTTTAAAAGCCTTAATTAGTGATAATAACTTTCGTTTGACTGATACAATACCGTTCTACTTTATTATAGACTGTTATTTATGATAAATAAATTTAATAGTTGAATTGATGAATGGATCTAAGCTAAACAACCATGAAAAACCTGGAAGCACTCGACAACTGTTTGATCCTAGTGTGGAACAACTAAGCCGTGTACATCCACTATCCTGCTTCGCGAGATTCCAATTAAACTAAGAATATTGTTTAATTAAATGAAATAGTCGAATACATAATCCTCTTCACTAAACTATCTTCAATATGTTAAGTTAATTTTTCCTCAACTGGAAAGTGTTATGTGCCTTTTTTTTTCGTACAAAATGACTTCCCCTCCCCTTTCAATTGTAGATTACATGCAATTACTAAATTATGCATTAAATATGGTGTATCACATTTAATCAATAATGCTTATGGTGTACAATCACCTAGATGTATGCGTACAATTGAATCAGCTGGAAAATTGATTATTGAACATAATTTAAATCAATCAAGTAAGTTGATTTATTGTTTTACTTATAAAAATTAATCAAATTAATAATCCATACACAATATATGATTAATGAAGAAGTAAACGAACAGAGTCATATACTTAATTACTTACGCCTGTTACTCTCAATGGGGCATAGGCCGCCGACCAGCATTTTCCAACCCACTCTGTTCTGAGTATTCCTTTCTAGTTCTATCCAGTTTTTGTTCATTCTTCTCATGTCTGTCTCCATTACTCGGCGTAATGTGTTCTTTGGTCTTCCTCCTTCCCTTTGACCTTCAGGATCCCATGTGAGGACTTGTCTTGTGACACAGTTGGATGCCTTCCTCAATGTGTGTCCTATTCACTTCCAGCGCTCCTTCCTGATTTCTTCCTTCACTGGAATCTGGTTTGTTCTCCCTGCAGTAGGTTGTTGTTAATAGTGACTAGCCAACGGATCCGAAGTATCTTGCGTAGACAACTCTTAATAAGCACCCATATCTTCTGGATAATGGCTTTCGTAGTTTTCCACGTCTCCGCCCCATACAGTAGAACTGACTTGACAATGGTATTGAAAATTCTGATTTTGGTGTTGACTGACAATTGTTTTGAGTTTCATATATTCTTCAGTTGTAAAGATGCTGGTCTTACCTTGCCGGTCGGCACCCTCACATCTGCATCTGATCCACCGTGTCCATCGATGATGTTGCCCAGATATGTAAAGGTTTACACATCCTCCAAAGCTTCTTCATCAAGTGTAATTCGATTGGCACATGTTGTGTTGTATCGAAATGTCTTGCTTTTCTCTTTGTTTATATTGAGACCTACTGCTGCTGAGGCTGCTGCTACACTGGTCGTTTTCTCCTGCATTTGTTGTTGCGTGTGTGATAGAAGAGCCAGATCATCGTCCAGCTACATCCTAGCTGTCCACTGTATCCCGTGCTTCCCTCTAAATGTTAACGTCTTCATGATCCAGTCTATCACCAGGTGAAAGAGAAAGAATGAGAGTAAGCAACCTTGCCTAACACCGGTCTTTACCTCCAGCATGTTGGTCTCGAAGTTGGGCGTCTACGGAGTGCCTCATTCTGTTTAACAATACCCTGTTGAAAACTTTTCCTGGTATTGAGAGAAGACGGTCATATAAATGACGTTAAGCACACATAAAATTCTTTGTTTCCATGTTGTCGTTCATCTATTTATATAAATCATACAATTATTAAAACAATGAATTACTAATTTTTAGTATTTTAAACATCTTATTCACATGATGTTCACTTTTTTCTTTATCCCCTATGAAATATTTATTATCAGTTGTATCTATATAGTTTAATGGCATCCATGATCTAGATTTCACATGTTCAATCATGTATGTATGAATGTGTGTTTTTTGATAGTAGTGGGTGTTACTTATATTGATTTTGTTAAATTATATTTTGGTACAATGCACTTCAATATCTGTATAATGTAGGGTAACTCGAGTGCATTTTCTTCCAACGGTTAGCAATTTTTTTCTCTGTTACTCAGTATGTTGTTAAAGTGTATTAGATCGAAAGCTTCTGAATCTTACGTCTTGTAGACTAATACTATATGTATGTAGCATAAAATCATGCTAATTTTTCTAAAAGTAAAAATGGATGTTTCAAACGGCAACATTGATAAACATGCATTTTAAGTCAGTCAGTCAGTCAGTCGCAACATAGAACTTCGTATGTACGTACGTAAATCAGTTCGAGTTGCCATATCACATTAGCACACAGATGCAGTTATCGATTCAAATCCCACAGTGGCTGTTAATTGTCACATTGTTATAATAATCAAGTTTGTTCATTGTAATTTTTCCTAGTTTAGCTATTTTGTTTTCTTGAATTCCAAAAAAATGGATTATAAAGAGATATAACTGAAAGCAACGAAGCTCTTGTCAATGACCATATCACTATGTAACAGTGTTAATATGTTTTTAGTGACCAGTCAGCTTATTCATCGGTGCTGTTTTCCATCTGACGGAAGGCGGCAGAATTCCAAATTGTCCTGGATACATGCCCTGGTACGACCGAGAAAGTGGGAAGGGCCCGCCCCTCTCTCGAAATGCTCTCACACGGCCACGCGTATACAGCCTCTGCCAGGGAAGTCCTACTCACTGCCTTCTCTTGGCGGGGGTGTTGTTCACGAAAGTGAGAGGACGAAAAGCGAATGTACGGCGCTCCATGCGGGCCAGTGGACACGGCGAGTCCACCTATGGGGGTTGGAAAACCTTGATCCTGAACCAATAGTTCATATGAGCTCCATTATCCTGAGTGAGCAAATAGCGTATGAACCAATCGTTGATCACCGGCTACCATAGGACTGCATATCCTCACGATGCTTCACTGCCTTATGGATCAGGCTCGGGGTGTGGCCTCCTAAGAAAACCACCTGCTTCTGTCTGGGCACCCGGGCATTATAATAGCCCTCTAACAATTAAAGTGAAAAGGCAATTTTTGCGGCGCATATATATCTGGTGCCCCCTTGTACCAATATGTATATGTTCAAATAAATAAAATGAGCCAACAAAACTGTTGCAGTCAATATTATGCAAGCCAAAGGATTCAGGAAAGAACAGTCATGACAAATCAGAGAAACTGTGAAGAATATTATATTTGACAAAGTCCGATCCTTCACCCTCAATGTCTGCATGAAAACCAGTCAGTTGTTAAGTGCCACGACTTAACGTAAATTGATGTAGATAGTTGTATCAATGCATGTGAACAACTTTTAATGCTCGGCACTCCGGCAAGGCATCAGTCAATAGGCTTAGTGAAGTCAACCCAATCTATCAGCCATTAAAAGACGGATTAGCAACTAAAAGACCAGAGATCACACCAGGGAAGGAAACAATCAAAGTAATCATCCAAACTACAGTCACACAATTACAAACAAAGTCCAGCAAAATTCCAGGTCAACCAAAGCAAGCTATTAGTCGATTGTAGAGGAATTCCAATTACAGTTCTCTTTGATATTTTGTACTAATGGCGTTGTTCATTGGGGGAAATGAGAGCTTCATGATTAAACCATCCAGCTCACATAACACAACTCCTTTGAAATTAGTTTTTTTGTAATTGTTTTATCACTTATTAAAAGTTAATCGGTTCATCATTATTAACTAAATGGGTTGAGTTTAGCACATTAGTCATTCTCCTTACAATCCGCCTTCAACAGCAACAAATCACTTTCATATTTATTATTTCTTAGATTCAAACAATCAACCCATTGACTTATTGTATGTCCAAAGTACGGATAAAAATTTAATGGTACCAGTTGGTGGAGCTGTAATTGCTGGATTTTGTAACGATTTAGTTGATTTTGTCGCTAAACTTTATCCAGGTAATATAATCATGTTCTTGATTAATTTTTCGTATGTCTTTATACTATTTTCAACTTTATCGCATCAGTTTCCTGATAATCTAGATCTTTGAAATCATATCAACATGTGCAAGTCAACATATTTATCTTGTTGACTGATTCTGATGTAGGTTTGTTCTCTGAGCTGGATGGTTTGGTCGTGGAGCTTTCATCAAAATCACCCACCTGAGCTACAAATCTTCTCAACCATCTCAAAATCATACGAGTGTTGATTGATTCTTCTGGTAGTCCATTAAAAAGTTCTTGTTAGCCTAGTCACATATAAATTAACTTAGTGGAAGTTCATCCATCATTATTCGGCACAGGTCAAAGGGGACTGTTCCTTATTTTTTTTGAAAAAAGAATGAAACTAGTTACCTGAATCATTAATTGAGTTAAAAGTTATTGAATCTACATTTCACTATAGTTCAAATGGTCGATTATACAATTTTATTTATATTCAATTAGTATTGTTTGTTTGAATCTTCCCATTGATGTGTTAGGACTGCAACTGGTCAGTCTCTAATTGGCATATGTGCATACTGTGCGTATTGCCTCGATATAGCCTAAATTCACAAGCATGATAAGTAAAGATGGATAGTGGCTAGCAGTGGAATCCAGTTTGACATGCGTTTCGTCCTATTTGGGACTCGTCAGCTGAATGTATCTGCATCTCAGAGTTGATGTTCACTCTGGGACTCGAACCCACAGTAACTTTCGCTTCAAACGCCATCGCGTTATCCACTCAGCCACTGAGTCCTGATATCCACTTGCTTGCGCAATGGGGTAAAGTTTAAATTCACATTAGTATTATTTGTTTGAATCTTCCCATTGATGTTTTTAGGACTGTTACTGCTAGCCACTATCCATTTTTGCTTACCATGCCTGTGAATTTTATTTATGTTATGAATGCTCTTATTACGACGTAGTTACTCTTCTTACTTAGCAGTCTTGGAAACTACTTCACGTGATGTGTCCCGAAATCAGAACATGATTGAACAGGAACGCAATCATATTACAAATGAACAAAGTTAAATGAAAGTACGAACCATAATAAGGAAAACGCTAGTATGTTTATAAACTTCATACAAGAAGATTCTAGAATCTTCTCCATGTGTCCTCCAGCGCTGATTGTTTAGGAACTATCCAATCAGCGTGCCCCATCACAATCCTGCACGGAACATGCCTTAATCCAATCTATATTCCACTTACAATTTCTGCAGACAGTTAGTTAATACACAAATCCCTCTAATTATAACCAATGTATAGTATTTGGGACACAAGTCGTCCGTTGTTAGTCACGTTAGTTCACTAAGAAGAGATTCATAAAATGAAAAGTTTAGAAAAGAAGAGAATACCATAAATTGTAGTAAGTAAATAAACAAACGAAAAACAATGCGAACTGATTTCATTGACTAGCACTATTTCTTGATCTGAAAGTTGTCAGTCTCCTCTCAACTGACTAGCACGTCAGGCGAGACTAAACTTTATGGACGACCTTTGAACGAATCTTAAATGACCTTGAGAAATATTAGCCAATCAGAAGACAGTATACAATAAAAATATATTATACAAAACTGAAAAATTAAAGCGGATACTATTCTTTTACATGGCTCAAAAACTTCTCAAGGTCGGATATAGTTTCAGAAGTTCTAAAATCATAGTGCATACGGTACAGGAACTCATCCATATGGCTCCATAGTAGTCGGCCTCTGGAGCCATGATAAGGTCCCAAAAATTCTTAATGTTGGTGCCTGTCGGTTCCTAACTCGTTGGAAATGTTAGGGTTAGGGTTAGTGTTAGGGTCTTAACTTTAATGGTGATCAAGCAAAAAAGGTCATTTGAGTATCACAGTAACAAGTATAGAAACTTCTAATAAAATGCCTTCTCTTGTAGACGCTGAATTATCACGTGTTCTCTAAAATCCACTGTAAACCGATCGTACGTAAGCACCAGGTACCGAACTTACCGCCGTGACCTTGAAAACCCGCGAAAGTTTCTGATTGGCTTGTCCATAAATTTTAATCCCTCTGCACGTCATAGCAGATGATGATGAATGAGTATTTACGACACATGTTACAACCTTTTTTTCAGTAAATAGTTCACAGCTTCATGAATCGATTTGCGAATTCAACTTGCTAATATACACCCAGCGTTAGTATAATCCACATAATACGTGCATAGTCTTGTCTTATCTTCCATTTCATTGTTCATCATTATAATTTTTTCTGCCTATATAATAAATAGGTCGAGCTTCAGGATCACCAACTTTGGATACTTTTGCTACATTACTTTATCTTGGTAATAAAGGTTGGAATGATTTAATTCAACGTCAATCGATATGTTTTAAACGATTACATGATGGATTAAAACAATTAAGTGAAAAATTTAATTTAAGATTATTAGATACTACTTCTAATCCTATTTCATTAGCATTAAGTTTAGAAAATCTTCTTCCTAAAACAATGACTATTCAAAACATTGAAAGAAATAAAATTGTAAAGGATGATCAGAGGAGAGAGATTTTTCATCATTTAACACAGATCGGTGCTAATCTCTTTACTCAAGGATGTTCGGGTGTAAGGTAAGTAAAATCATTGTTGTATATGTATATGTATATAATTGTCATGATTAAACTGACTTGTAGACGATTACTATGAACTTTCTTGTTTAACTTTGTCGTTGACATACTATTAGAAATAACATTTTTATCATCTAAATCTCCAGGAGTTGAACTTTTACCGGGAGGCTCACTTGTTAACTTAGAATAAGCTAACAACATAGTTTTATTTGGTGGAGACGCTGACCACTATAAGCAACTACGCAGACATGCTCAGGATGCGATTCTCTCCCTCGAATTGTAAAATGTTACTTCAGAATTGCGTTGCATCGGCTCCTGAACTAATGATAGGGAGTGAGGTAGTTGAAAATGTCGACCGCTTCACTTATCTTGGGAGTCTCATCAGCCCTTGTGGTCTGGTATGTGACGAAATCTCAGTACGGATACTTAAGGCTCGTCTAGCTTTCGCCAACTTGCGTCATTTATGGCGTAGGCGAGATATCCGTCTAGCAACAAAAGGAATGGTTTACTGTGAAGCAGTTCGTTCTGTCCTACTTTATGGAAGTGAAACATGGCTGATAAGAGTAGAGGATATTCATAGGCTACTAGTATTCGATCATAGGTGTCTTCGACGCATTGCTCGTATATCTCTTGACCACCGGGTAAGTAATGCAGATGTTAGGGAACGGGTAGTATGTAAGGATGGCAAATCGATTGATGAAGTAGTGAGACTTCATGAGTTCAGATGGCTGGGACATGTTACATATGCCCAACTAACCACCGACTGCCCCGACGTGCAATGTTTTATGGTGTAGGAGTAGGTTGGAATAAAGCTAGGGGTGGCCAGATCAAAACATGGCACAAATCCATGAGGTCACTCACTGACAAGTGGACTGAGCCATGTTAGTTGGTGTAGACTACTACCTGGTTGGGATTCGCGAGATGATAGCAACCGATGGTTAGAGACCTTGAATGACATGACTCAAAATCGTTTGCAATGGCGAAGGTGCATCCACTCTTTGTGTTCTCCCAAATTCTTATCTGAATTCTTCATGTCTGTATCCTTTTTTCTTTCCAAATTTATTTCATTGTATTATACTCCTTCAATAACATCTCCGAACCCTAATCTTTCGGATTACTGCTTATACTCTTACTACTTCTACCACTATGGGTTTTGAATCGACAACTACATCTTTGTGTTAATGTAGTATGGCAATTCGAACTGATGTACGTACGTACGAAGTTCTACGTTGTGGCTGACTGAACTTTCTTAGTTGTTTATTTTCTAATTGACTGTTGCTACATACCTTTTGTTTTGTTTTATTTTGGTAATGGTTTCACATTCTGTGCTTATATAATCTAAAAAAAAGTGTTACTGGTTAAGTTGGGGTCACATGTACTGTCACTAATTACAAAGACATGAGATTAGACAGGAAGTTGTTGTATTGTAAGAAAATTAGAACTACTTATTTATTGTATCTGACGTTCCGAATTCGCGTATGATGTGGTGTTCGTGGTTAACGTGTGTGCGTGTCTCTCTCTCTCTCTAAAAGGTTAGATATCAATGAGTGAGTCAGATACTTTCATCATCATCACCTTCATCATAAAAATAGCACGTTTCATTAATCACGTTCAATGTGTTATGCATAAGGTACTATTCAGTTGTTATTCTTTCAAGGTTACTTGTTTTGTTTTTTCTTTTCTCAATTCATCTTTGTTCTGTTTATCAACATGTTTGTCAATTAAATAGATACAATGTAAGTACTGGTTATATTGTATTAGACTTTGTGTTATGAATTGTAACTTCTTAAACTGTACAATTTAGTCAAATCATAAGATTATGAATTCCACCAATAATAAGTTCAGTTTACTCCTATCAAACTAATGACTTGTCTAATCAATAACACAATTGTTCATTAGTAACAATCATCGTTACGATAAAGCCTATTGGGTTTATTCAGATCCTACTATCTTTCTATTAAACGCTTCAACAACTATCGGTAAACGATGTAACACAAGAAGAAGTCAATAGTTTTGGAAAAGTTTGATATTTAACGGAGACGGAGTTAAAGTAGAATAACCTTGTGTATTTAACAGCAAAGGAAATGTTATGCCGAAATATGATTTAGAAATAATTGGCTTAAGGTTATCGTTACAGGAGAGTTGTATTTTTTTACTATTTAAACACATAAATATTTGTGCAAAGGGGCACCAGATACATATACGCCACACAAATCTCATTTGATTTGTGTGAGGGCTGCGAATCTACCTGGGCGCTCAAACCGAAACAGGTGGTTTTTTTAGGAGGTCACACCCGGAGTCTTTGACCTAAATATTGGATCCACAAGGCAGTGGAACAACGTAAGCAGATGCAGTCCCATGGTAGTCGACGACGAAAGATTGATTCACAAGTCATTTGTTCCCTTAGGATACTGGAACCCATGTACACCATTAGTTTGGAATGAGGTTTTTCCAACTCCCCTAGGTGAATTCGTCATGTCCACTGGCCCGGTTGGAGCGCCGGACATTCGCTTTTCATCCTCTCAATTTTGTAAATAACACCTCCCCCACAAAAAATCAGTGAGAGAGATTAACATAAATCTGAACTAAATGACGTAAGATATTTCTATCACTCAGGCAATTTTCACTTAAGCATAGCCATTACTTATTTTGATGGCCATTACTTTTTAGTGTTAGAGTAAGCCTAAAGAAAGCTAGAGAGAGAGAGTCGAACTAAGACGTGCGATTATTTTATGAAATCATTGATTGTTTCTGTAAGTCATGTTCTCCTAGGTGCACAGACTGCATAGTTAGGGCTAATATTTAGAAATCATAAATGACATGGTTCAAAATTGATCGGCATGACTTGAAAATGGATTGTTTGTTTTTATCTTTTAGTTTTCAAGTTGAAAACTTTAATTCCACGAATTCATTTGTTCTTTTTAAACGGTATTTTCATTATTTGGTTTTCTCTATTATCATTAAAATTATTGTTATTTGATAAACTTCTTTACATATTGCTAACTAATCAATATATCGTACCAATTTCATAAAACTGTAGGATGAATAAACATTCATGCCAAATGTTTATGTGAATTTACTTCACAAAACTACTGATTTCTTATACTAAAGAAATTATTTTACATTGAACTCATAACCTTCGAATGCCCTGGTACGGCTGAAAGTGAGGAAGGCCCACTCTCTCTCTCTCTCTCTCGAAATGCTCTCACACGGCCACGCATATACAGCCTCTGCCGGGGAAGTTCTACTCACTGCATTTTCATGGCATTACTGTTGTTTACGAAGTTGAGAGGACGGAAAGCGATTGTATGTTGCTCCAACTGAGCTAGTAGACACCTATGGGAGTTGAGAAACCATCATTCCAAATCAATGGTGCACATGGACTCCAATATCCTAATGGGAAAATGGCGTATGAACTTATTATTGGTCACCGGCTACCATGGGACTGTGTCTCCTTACGATGCACCACTACCTTGTGGATCAGATCTTTAGATCAAAGGATCGAGGTGTGGCCTTCTAAGGAAACCACCTGCTTGGGTCTGGACACCCGATGGATATATATTTCTCAAATAAATACTAAATGGTTTCTAATTGATAATAATCATCAGGTTATTTTGATTACTTTATTCATTTTAGTAATATTTATTTAAACTATTCTTTGTTTATAGGGTTATTCTACCGGCTACTATGACAAATTCTACAAAATTAGATATATATGAATTTGATGGTTTTAATTCACATAGTTCTATATCTAATATACCTTATATTAATGCAGCTTCATCTATTGGTCAAAAACAATATGAAATTGATATATTTTTAAAAAAACTTGATAAAGTAATACAACATTTTCAATGTTACATTATTAATAAATTTAATATTAATGTCATAAATACTGTTACTATGACAACAGTCAATGGTGTTACTTCTGCTACGGATGATGATGATGATGACGACGACGTCGATGATGATGATGATAATGTTTTGTCCAAAGAATCTTTGAAGCTAAATTCTCATTCTACTCTCATGTGATGATTTATTGTTTTTCAATAAACAATTGTATATAAATACATTTTGTGTGTGTGTGTATGTGCCCTTTTTCTTTTGGTTGTTACATGTGTTACTTCTGTTTCTATGAGGAAAATTTTTTTTTGTCATTTCTATCTTATTGATTTACTGTTTACAGATTTATTGATCTTTTTATTTTGTTTATTTATTTTTTGTTGATGTTTGCAATATGATATTTATGTTGTTTTTTTCTTTTTCTTGCCCCCCCTACCTTTGCATTTGTTTAATTCTAAAGTAAGGAATTAAAAGAGCCATTGATCATAATGATGTTTCCATTGTATTCATCTTCATTAATGTACATACCTAATTACCTAATTATATATCTAAATCAAACTGGTATTTGTTTCATGAGTTCATACTAGATGGGTGATATGATTGATTGCTTTTAATCATAAAAGAATGAATGATTTCAAAACTTTCATATTGTTTAATTGAAAATAGATCCTGGGTTCGAATCTCGTGAGGCGGGATCGTGAAAGTGCACTGCTGAGGAGGAGTCCCACAATAGGACGAAACAGTTGTCCAGTGTTTCAAGGTTTTCCATGGTGGTCTAGCTTTAATTGACTCATATTCTCAACTATATAATCCACTCAGTGGCCGAGTGGATTACGCGATGGCATTTGAAGGGAAAGGTACTGGGTTCGAGTCCCAAAGTGAATATCTACTCTGAGATGTGGCAGGTACATCTAGCTGACGAGTCCCAAATAGGACAAAATGATGCGTGTCCTGGATTCCACTGCTAACCACTATCCATCTTTACTTACCATGCTTGTGAATTGAGGCTATATCGAGGCAATACGCACAGTATGCACATATGCCAATTAGAGACTGACCAGTTGCAGTCGTAACACATCAATGGGAAGATTCAAACAAACAATACTAAATGAATTTAATCATTTAACTAGTTTGATAGTAGTATCAATAATCATTTAAAATGGGTGTGGTATATAATTATGAAAATTAAAGAGATTAGCTTATTTTATCACTTGTTTCTTTGTAATTTAAAAAAAATTAGGTTTGTCTTTAATTTTTATTTATGCCATCTTTGTATTGAATGTTTAAGTAATAAGATAATAAGGACAATTGAGAACTGTAATTAGACTCATAGGTTAATGTAAAATTTAGTTTGAAAATTTTCTTTTATACCTTTCAAATGGTATAAAATCTATCCATCTCGAAATATATTAAAATTAGCTCAAAGCTAATAATCAGTGCATTACTTACGCCTGTTACCCCTCGTGGAGGAACATAGACTGCACACCAACATTCTCCATCCAACCCTGTCCTTGGTAATCCTTTCCAGTTGTTATTCAGAATGTAAGTTTTACACTTAAAAGAAATAGAAAATGTTTATAAAACATAGCGAAGTAGTAGGTTGTAATATGTGTAATTCTATCTGTATTTGTCCTACTGACATTACTTTTGAAACGTTTGAATTACCCAGTTGGTGTTTTCTAAAGCTTCGGTGGCGTTTCAAACTGACTGTGGCTTCAGAAGTTTATGTTATTTTCTGTTTTGACATATCTTCATATTTAAAACGTTGCAAATGATGATTGACTGTTCTTTTGTAACATTACTTACTAACTATAAGTGATTAGTAAATGTAGTATGTGATTGACCGTCGAATGTGGACAAGCAAACAATCAGCTTAATATATAGTTTTCTTTGTATCTTTGGTTTCGAATCAGAACTTATTGATTATAAACTGTCTGTAATTTTCTTGTATAAAGTATTGTTTAGGTTATAGTCTGGTCGTCTATGTTGATCATGTATCTGGTATCACCTGACGTAGTCTGTATATATTGTATCATCCGAGTATCTAGTGACAACAGAATATTCGGTTGTATAATAGTAGTATATTGCAACAAACAGTAATATAAAGATTTAATCAATTAATTAAACTGTTAAAAGTACGTTCTTCATAACCTTCGAATTATTTAAATATTTGCGCTTGTAACGAATCTGAACAATTTGGAAGGACAAATTCCTGGTAATACATATGTATACTATGATAGTTACAATCTCTTTTTGTTTTTCAGTCTACCGGTAACAAACATATTTCACATGATGAGCATTTCATTGCTTTTTACAAGTTTTATACGTTTATAGAGTTAGATTTACAGTTGAAATCATGAGTCAATTGAATCTAGACCACCAAGGAAAACGTGGAAGCACTGGAATAGCTGTATGCTCACTAGTGACTGGCTCAAAGAGATATTTCCTGGAGTTCTAGTGAGATGCAGTGACCATTGGAGCTCAACCAGGTCTGTTGTGAGATATAAACTAACTGAAGACAATTGGTGAACGGTTGCTCAAACTTTGTGGATTGGTTGAAGTTAGTCATTAACACCGTTGGACGCCTGATCAGTGATATAGAGGTTAAGTGGTCGCGCGCGAGATTGTTAAGTCCTGGGTTCGAATCTTGCGATGTGGGATCGTAGATGCGCACTGCTGAGGAGTCCCACAATGGGATGAGGCTGCCGTCCAGTGCTTCCAGGTTTTTTATGGTGGTCTAGCTTCAATTGACTCATGATTTCAATTATAAAATTAATAAAATGTCCACAAAAAACTGATATTTATATTTACACTATATAAATTAGTAGAAATTCAATGTTTGTTAGTTACTATGGCTACTGGAATTCGATTCATGTGATTGGAAGGAGACATAGTTAATTAAGACTTTGATAATATTTCTGATTAAAAAACACAACGACCAAAATAATCCCACAGCACTGATTGGACATACAGTCATAAATTCGTAATCAGTATTTCTATATTTTTAAATTATATCTAGTGTAAATATGCTCGTGGACTTTTTGACCCGAGTAGTTCATAGTGTCGATGTAGAAACATAAACATAAAGCTATATAATGCATTCGAAGATAGTACACATCGGCCTCTTAGTAACTTCATCCGTTCAGCATGTCAATGAACTTCATACATAGGTTTAAAATGGTAATAATTATATTGTAAACAGCTATCCAGTATATTTTAATTGTTTGTTTATTGTTCTACAGAGAGGTTTATTCTGTACAAGTTTTCATTATTTTGTTGAAGAACTTGAGGAGTTTCGGTAAACTATTTCATTCATAGTGAGTCTTCTTGGTGGTATAACGTTGAGCAACCGTGAATATTTAGGGAAGCTAAACAAAATGATCAAGAGTTCAGATGAAGGAAACACGAACCTTGTAAAACTAGACCCCATTAGTAGATCAGTCATTTTCGTAGGATTTTAAAGTCTGACTGACAAGAATCCAAAGGTAATGTTTTAGGATGATCCTGAATATATTAGGCCTCTAGATAATAAGCTGAAGGGTCAGAGAGGTAACACTGAACTCTAGTTAAATTATCTGTTAATTTTAACGTAACCCCAACCTAAAAGACTGGTTGCCGATCGTCAAATGACTGACAGCAAGTCATAAAAGATAATGACAACTAACGCGCATAAATTAATTGACTTCATAAAATAAGCACACGCAAGAGATTGATCATATTGTGTGTACATTGCCTCTGTTTAGTCTTTTCTCAAGTACACCATAATAATCTGTCGAGGTAGAAAATTCCCGAGAAGAAGTAGCATAAACGCATTTGAAACTGATGATAACCATGTTACTTCTACTGAACACATTTACTGAAGACAATCAGTAAAGCATTTGCACCATATCAGTTCTCCACTATTCACGAGATGCACCTCCAATGACTAGTCAAATTAAAAGTCATACGCCACTACACCTGTTACTGTACATCGAATATCAATGCTTTTGAAAATCTTGATGTACTCAATTATATTTCAACACTTGTTGCAGTTACAATTTTTCTTCACTCTGACTATTGACGACTGCGTAAACCCGATACTACAGGAACTGGGAATTCTTAGGAGTTATTACGATTATTATTCACAAATAACTAATTGGTATGTAAGTGTTGTGAAGTAGAAACCATTTCAGGTCTCTTCAGAAATGCAGTTACTCATGTTTCAGTAATCTTTTCGTAATATTTGCCTTGTTTGAACGGGTTCTGACTTTAAAGAAGTAAAGAAAAGTGAGATGTTTAAATAATTTAGTATGTTTGTGTCTCAGCCTGTAGCAATTCCAGATTTACTGCCGGTCCCAAAACCGGGTAAAAGAGGAGGGTTGGGTACAGAATCAGCAACCCCATCCCATAGAAAACAACCTTTCTGAAAATATGCTGACCAAAATAAACAATTTTAACCACTTAAAATGCCCTCCGAGTGGAAATATCTTCGTTCACAAGAATTATGATGCCTTGTGGTGAAAGACAAGATTCTTCGGAAGTCTGTTGTAACATTTATGTTCAATGATTTTATGTAGCAACAAAATATAGATCACATATTTTTCCTATTTGTCACACTTTATATATAACCACATTTATTTTCAATATCTATTGTTTCTCTGTATCAATGGTAACGAAAGGAATATATTTGTTCGGCTATATTTAACATACACTGCACTACCGCCGTCCTTTCTTCTGCTTTATTGGCCTTGGCCCATGATTGAAGATTATAATAGTATTATAGGATCAGTCAGTCAGCGACAACGTAGAACCAGGCACAAATATGTATCGGTCCAAGTTGCCATACCTCGTTAGCACAATAAGATAAACACCGGATTCAAAGAAGTAATTAATTTAGTGGTGGTAGTATATAAAGAAAGGTTGTATATAAGAATATAGTATAGGAAGGAAGAAGTTATGAAACAATTTTAAACTCCAGGTTTAAGGCAAGATTGTGATCGATTCTGAGCCATGTCACACAGAGTCTCCAACCATTGGTTACGATAGTCACGCGGACCTCAACCAAGTAGTCTGCATCTACCAACATGGCTCAGACTAGAAGTTAGTGACTTCAAACACTGATGCCATGTTTTGGTTTGGCCGCCCCTAACTCTCTTCCAACCATCCGCTATACTAGTCAACATCGCGCGTTTTGGTAATCGGTGTTCAGG